ACACGGAAGTATCAGTAGCTCTGGAATTGGAGTCTTGGACATTTGTCCTTGAGAAATAAATATTTAAGTTCGCTCAAAAACCTACCTGTGGATTTTTATAAGCAGTTTTATCATCATAGAAAAACGCAAGAAAAATGTCATTCAACAAGTAAGTGGATTCAGAAGGCTTTGTAGAGTCATATTTCTTTTACAAAGCAGAAAAAAGCTACTGATGATGTGGATAAATTTCCAGTGAATTACACAGTGTGAAAAAGTCAGCTCCAAAGGTGCAGTGTGATTCTATTTATATATTATATATCATTGTAAAATGACGATATTAAAAAATCTAGACAACAAAGGAGTGCTTGCCAGAGGAGAGGGACCGTTTAGTGGAAAGGTTAATATGGATGTAAGAGGCCAATACTCGAGCTGCTTGAGGCTATGGAACTGTTAAGTATCTGGACTCCTGATGAACTTGTACAAAGTTAGATTCACGCACCCACACTGACATGTGCTAATCAACTTAGAGAAATGTGAGTATAGGCGAAGGTTTCCATAGATGTCCTGGTTGAGATATGGTAGGGTGGCTTTGCTAAATCATCATCAAAAGCATCTCCACCAATTCCAATTTTTGTGAAAAGATAGGATCCCAGTTGGGTACCAATAGCACTAAACATATATTTTAAGTGAGTTTTGGTAAATGTAACTACAACTTTGTAACTCGAAGGTGTAAGCCAGAATCTATTCAGTGCTTTCCCAAGTAGTCAGTGAGGAGAACAGCAACCACGAGTGTGCACCAGACACCTGTGGGAGGTCAGCAATTTCGGAGGAGAAAAGAACCAACATGTTTTGCCTCCACACGGTTCAATAACTGAAATGTAGGATCGATACTAATGCTTGTTCATGGGCTGTCAAGATTTAGTCTCAACCGTTATTGACGGGATTCAGTTCATTTCCGCTAACATAGAGTACAGTGTAAATCTGCAAATACATGCATTTGGGTTGTGTTTGATATTCTGTCCCCACTTTATTTACTTTTTTAATTAATTAAGTTTATTGGTACATTTTAGGTATACATAATGAGCACATTTGTCATAGGGAATTTGTACCTGCACGTGAAATAACTTGATAGAAATGAATTAGTAAACAAATGGGATTTCTTGATCATCAAATGACAAGGGAAGACAGTCAGCGAGCAGGACTCTGATATATACGTTAAAGGTGAATCTGTTTTGACATAGACACATGAATTTGTGAATGTCATAGATTTCTCCATAGCTAAAAGAGCCAAAATTACGAACAGGAAAGGTATGTATGAAACACTTTTATTGGATAAGCAATCTATCTTTTGTGCACTACCTTGTTCATAACAGAAATATTAAATATTTGTGTAAAGCCATTTATTTCCAAAATCCAGTGAAATCTTTAATAAATTTGTTGAGCTTTATCAGATATCAGGAGAACAATTATTTCCAGTATTAAATCAGAGTTATCTGAGAATTTTGTCAGAGCACTTTACAGCAGCAAAAAGGAGCATCATGATTTGAAGTAATCTCATAGAAAAATATGCAAAATTTTGAAATAGGATGACAAAATCTTATATCCCATAACATTAGAAAATCACAAGGTTTTACATAAATCTTCATCATTAAATGTGATATATGCATAAAATGCTTAAAAGTTGGAAGAGTTGTACACATGTGTGTATGTGTTTATGTGTGTGTGAGTGTGTGTGTGTGAGTGAGAGAGACAGAGAGAGAGGGAATCTGACTTCATGGCAGACCACTATTGATGTTTATTTATTTATTTAGTTAGTTTTTTTCCTGGTACCAGGAATTGAACTCACGACCTTGTGCTTGCCAGGCAGGTGCTGTGCTCCTGAGCTAAATCCCCAGCCCCTCCAGTATTGATTTTGATGACATAAATCATGTCTTTGTGTATGAGGAGATGAGTGCAAAGAGTATGATGATGTTTTCAGTCTCTATTTAGACGGTTTTATTCTCATACTTAGTTTAGAATTTGGTTAGCACATGTTTTTAGAGGTATTTAGAGATGAAGAGAAGCACTCCAATGAATATAACTAATGTAGTTGGAATGTTACTGAAATTATTATGTATGCACTACACTTTGCTGTTGCTGAGTGGCAGTCTACCCATGGTTATATGACCAGGAAACACTGCTGGTCTAAAGCATGTCATGTGATGTGATTCAGTGCTAAATGATGTAATAGCAATTAGGACCACCAACAAAACATTCTACTGCAAGTACAATTTATTGTTGAAATGATTCTAGAAATGAAGTGAGCTTTTACATAAGAAGAAGTCTGACTTCCTAAAGGACAAAATAATCAAACTGAGAATTTCTTCCAGAGTACTTGTTTTTAATCCCCTGATAACATATATTTTCACGTTATTTCACCACCTATAGTGTGTAGGAAAAGTAATTGTTAAAAAAAAGAAGAAAACCAGAAGCATCGGCAAAAATGTTCTTGAGACTTGGGAGGCATGTCTATGTAGATGTATAAACAGGTATATCATGAAAGAAATTAACTAAAAACTTATGGTTCCAAAGTCAATTATAAAAATGCAACTTTGACGTTATAATGGAGCTTATTTTATTGGGTTTTCTGCCTTTTTCTAATTAATATGTGGGAAATCTATCAATCTGTCAATCTATCTACCTATGTCTTTTGTTTTACATATACACACATATGCGTGTAACATTTGGGGAGTAAATGTCAGTAGTGGCCAGTAAGTAAGATTATTACTGTTGAATAGCCTAGCTATTTTTAACATATTAAGGACATTTTCATTTATAGGTTTCTAAAAATTTTTGAGCCATACACCCAGTGGCAATGGTTTTCCAAATAGGTTAAATAAGGTTACATCTCATGTATCTACAATCTTTTTAAGTAGATACACAGGGAGAGATCACTGTAAAGGAGTGAGCTTAGTCAGTAACTCTGGTATCTTCTCATTTCTAAAACTAATCTACTAAAGAATGCTACCCATTTTCTTAAAAATGTCCATACCGTTCATCTGAGTCCACTAAACCGCAATTGCATGTGTGCACATTTACCCAAATGAACACACCGCAATGTCCCTATGTAGGCACCTACAAGACTTTCTCATCAGCCAGAGTCTAAGAGAAACAGGCCCAACCAAGTGAAAACTAAAGTTCTCCCAAACTGTGAGCCCAAGTTATCCTTTCTACTCCTACTTTGATTACCTGTTGTTTTTTTGAACTAGTGGGAACCTGACCAGCATAGTACCCTAGGTTGTCTATCTACAAGCATTGCAAAGAATTACTTTTCCCCAGGAAGATCCCAGAGGAAGCAAAGAAAAATTGATCTCAAGAAACACTACTGCACATGTAGAACACTTGTTTTACTCAGGTGTGAGTCTCAGGACAAGGTTAAAAGTTGCCTCTTTGCCTCTTAGCAGTAGTTCTTCTATTGTCTGTATTGGATTGCTAGGTGCTACTACAAAGTGACCACAAGCTGTGAGACTTAAAGCAGTAGCTTAAAAACATTTGCTCCCAGTCCTGCAAGGTTTAAGTGCAGAATTAAAGTGGTGAAAGGACTATCCTCACCCTTAGAATCTTAGTGGAGGCCCTTTAATGCTTCGCCCTTGCTGTGGTTGGAGAAGTCTGGGCATACTTGGCCTGCAGCAGCTCAGCTCTACATCCTGCTTCCCTCTCACCCTGAGCTCTGCCCGTGTACCCGCCATCTTGTCTTCAGATACCGTGCTTGTGTCTGTATCTCTATGTCCAAATTTCCCTCGTCATTTCACTTGTCCTTTTTGTTTTCATTGAGACAGGGTCTTTCTATATAGTTCAGGCTGGTCTTGAACTCACTGTGTAGCCCAGGCCAGCCTGGAACTTGTGGCATCCTCCTGCTCAGCCTCCTGAGTACTGGGGTTATAGGTGTGCACCACCATGGCCAGGACTCCTCTTTCTTTTAATGGGTCTAATAATTGGAGTGAGGATCAACACAAATCAGCATGTCTGCATCTTATCTCCATTTACCTTATTTCACACTGAGACCACATTCACAATTACCAGAAGTTAAACTTTTAATATATCTCATTTAAACTCACCACACTCTTTAGCTATCTGACCATCTGTGAGCAGTCTGTACCTATACCTATACTTATACCTATATCTATATCATATATGTATTATGTATCTATAATATCTAAATATTTCTGTATCTATACATTTATCTATCTTGGGCATATCATCTATTTAATAGTAGAGTCAGAAGAAATGCAGGTGTGTCTCAGGAGTGTATATTAACATCCACACTAAACTGAAAAATTTTATAAGCTATTTTTACCATACAGTAATACACATGAATCACTTTATTCAGTGAATAAAGTGAGAACTGATTTCTCAATTAAGATATGCAGTAATATCTTGATAAAGTGTTTTTAAAGTATGTTACAAGATTGAAACAATCTTATGTATCCTTGATTGTCACTGTCTCTTTGCTTACTCTGGGTAGACTTCAGTGTTCATCTATATGCCTATACCTTTATCTACATTATCTGCCTCGAATATTTTTCATCTTGTCTCTCTTTATGCTTCTCCATTGACCCTGATTATTAGAATGTTCAAAGAAAGCATTATTATCATATTTTATAATTTCACAGAAAGCTCTTTTGATTCCTCTTCCTCTGTGTCTTTGGGGAACACTATTATTTTCCAATGGTTCAAAACTTACTTATGGGATCTCTGTGTCTTTTGTGTTTTAATAGAGATATACTAATCACATGCATTTAAAGTCTACAACATGGTGTTCTGAAGGACACACACATGTGGAATGCAGACTCTGGCTGACTTGTATAGGCATTACCTCAAATATTCATTTGTCTTTTGTGGAGACAGTACTTAAAATCTAAGTCCCTTTGACTGAGGACAGATGAAGCTTATTCCCCCTACCTAACACTTGAGAATCGCCTCTGTTTCTTCCCTGCTCTCTAGTAATTGCCCATGTAACATCACGCTCTTCCCAGTCACATCTAAGGAAGGTGTGGGTTACAAAGATCTCCACCAGCTGAGCTCATGAGTCGAAGCACCACAGCACACGGTGAGGAGCCGCATGCTGTGGCAGGCTCTTTCCAAGTTGCCACTGCTTCCCAATCAGCACCCTTGACAGACAACGCTGCTCACACAATTGGACACACAGCACATTGAGCCAAGCGCAAGTCTACACTTTCAAATTTCAACTCTTACAGTATCCTGCTTTCTTATCAACTAGGGACATGTGTTATATATGTAATCCCAATCCGGCCCTATAATCTGACATGTTATCATCTAGACAACATCTAGAGAGAGGTAGAAAGAGATCTGATGGGTAGGAATGGCTTTGGGGTGTGGGTGCTCCCCAGTGCTGAGACCTGATTTTTTGGGCAAGGTTAAAGAAGCTTCACCCACTGACAGGACGTAAAACAAAGAATGAAAGATTGCTGGATAAAGTTGCCCTTATTTTAATTTGAAAGAGGGCGTGTAAATAAGACATACAAGCACACTGATGATACAATCAGTAGACACGATTTTAGATGCTTGTCTGGGAAGAGAATTTAAACAGTAAGATTATCAGCAGTTGTCTACAAAATGATACTTGTGAAAAGAATGCTAAATTCCACTGCTTTATGATAATTTAAAGGCATTTGGCATACTTTGCTTAATTTCCTTTGATGAAGAATTTTAATCTGTGTACATGAAAAAAAAACCCCATATAAAATAGAAAACTGAAGTAGAAAATATAGAGAAGAAAAACATAAATATAGGTGGAAAATGAAGATCAAATGCTTACGAATATAACCAAGCAGATTAGAATAAACAGCATATTGTATAGACAATATTAAAGCAGGGTTAAATAACTTCCAAAATTAGAGGAAATTAAATGTTTCAGTTTTAGAGGAAACTTGTATTCTAATTTGGATTTCTAAGTGAAATGTTTGAAGAACACCAGTGATGTAATTTCACCCACCAGAAACACATCTTGAAACAGGAGCAGCACAATATTTTATAGGGTGATTTCTTGTCCTATCAAGAAACAAATCCAAAGAGCAGCATTAATGTGAAATTCTGTGAAGAATATTCCACAAGGTGTAGTGTTATTTTCTGAAAACCAGGAATAGATGTAATGGGTAACCAGTCTGTGCACAAAATGTTTACATAAAAATTGATGTAAAACCGGTGCTTTGATGGTTTCCTCCTCGGGTAAGATCAGTGTAGCATGTTCTGTGTTGGTCCCGCTTCCTGCAATGAAGTACTGCAGAAGTATTTATACTTGAAGTCGTCCTTTGTGGAGATAGGCCAGGATGGCTATAATGAAGTCTGCTGTCTCAGAATAATTATTAACAGGCTCCTTTCCTTCTTCAAAGCCCAGATTGGGATGATCTCTTGCTCCTCTGCCTCTTATTCGCACACTGACTTGTGGTGGGGTCTTCTGTGTCTCACCATCGCTATCACCCCATCAAATAATTTTTCAGATGGGCCAGTGCTGGGCCCAGGGAGATATATACCTCCTTCCCATTCAGCTTGCTGTCACATGTGCTTTGTCGCCGCTTCCCATGTGACACAGGTTGTTAATTAATGGTCTGTGGTCGCAGGGAAGCAAGCTTTTAGAAATTCTTCCTTCATCACTGTTAGTTGTGTGAACTTAAGTTATGTACCCTTTCTGACACTTGCCTTACTCACCTGCGATATGAGGATGCAGCTGAGAAGGGTGAGTCAGCTCACACATGGGAAATCCTGGGCACTTAGGGCTCCGTGAGCAGGAACCTGGCACTGGCAGGGTCTGGTGCCACCTTGGCTCTATTCGACCTTCTCTTCTTCTGCCAACTGGTCTGAGCTCATTCCCGAGCTTTGGACAGCCTGAAAGATGTCACAGATTCACCTCTTACTTCCACTGTCCTTGCTTTCATATTCTGAGCCTGTAGCACAAACTAGCTGTCTCCTCCAACAGGGAAACTAAAGCCAGGTAACAGTAAAGATGATCGTAGACTGAGCTGTGCCAGTGGAGAAGAAAGATTTTATTTTTCTTCTTCCCAAGCTAATGTGCATGGAAAAGTTAGACTTCTAGAGAGAAATAATCGTGGCAAGAAACAGAACATTTGAGGTGAAGGATAACGTGATAATACAGGTTCTCTAACAAAAGGTGCCAACAAGGAGCAAAGGGGAAATCAAAGGCTGAGGATCCCCAGTATGATTTAAACTGAACCCACACAGCACGTGGCCTGTGGACCACAAAATGTATTTCAAATCTCCATACACTGGTAGGGGCAAGGTTGTTATTAAATTTGTGTCTTTTGATATTTTTGCTGTAAGTCCAGCAGCTTCCCTTATGTCTGAAAAATATGAAGAAAATTCAAACTGAAAGTCAAACTTCCTTGATGCTCTGGTCAGTCTTATTTGATACATTTAAAACCCAGGATTGATTAATTATTTTAAGACAACTAAATTTTAAGAGCATATTCAATCATAAAAGTGAGAGCACATATATGAAATAGTTGTAAATTACATAACAACAAAGGAGTAATAATTTATCGCGAGGATAAGACTTTTACAAGCAGATTACACATACAGGTGGATATAGAAACTTGAACATCAGAAAGTTAAAAATAGTTGGCATGCATAGATGAGTAAAAATAAGCACAGCGATGTCTTCTGAGTCAATAAAAGGAATTATTGTTAATGTATATATCGTAATTATATTGATAATGTATACTGGTAATTATTGGTAATGTATATTGGTAATTATAATGCAGAGAATTATTGTTTAAATATATTGCTGAAATAATCTCATGTATAATTCTCTGGCTGGGAATGGTGGGATGATAAGGACAAGAGCTGGTTGGGCCCCAGCTAAGGGACAAATGGACAGGGGTCAGTGTGACAACAGTGGCTACAATGAACTTGTAAATCACCAGCATGTGGAAAACAAAAGGTAACAGCAAAAACCCCGCGACATTTTGTTGCAGGACACACAATATATTGAGATCTTTTGTCCTTCACGACCACCTGTGAGAATTCCAAGCCCCTTTTCTGCTGTGAGCTCTGTATATCCAAGAAGACAGCCGGCATTTATGGTGACCTTGCTGTTGAAAGAGGTTACTAGCCTGCAGCAGCAATGGCCTCTTGACACCAAAATGGAGACCTGCCCCGTTACAATCCTCCAGGCAGATCTCCCGATAAACTGAGGCATTTGTCAATTAGACAGAAATAGTTCATTCTGCCTGGCATGGTTTGAAAACTTGAACAGCATAAAGCATAGTTAAAGATTCACATATCTGTTACCTCTTACTTAGGATTGTGCAAGATGTCACAAAACGGAGGTTGTGATATTAATGTGTCTGATGTTCTCAGATGCAGAGTTATTTCAGATTAATTAAAATTTTACTTCTAAAGATACTGGTGACTAACTGATTTTAAATAAGTTCACTAACATTTCAAATTAGTCAAATAGACTAGTCAACTGTAGTCGATGCTGATATTATGTAAAGGTTTCTAAAATTACTTTGAAACTAGAAATACATTTAGTTATAGCCCTACTCACAAATGAGTTTCTTATTAATATTTGTCAAGCAGTATACTATGCTGAAGCAGTATTCAAATCATGGCCCCTGTCTTGTCTAATTAAATGCTAATGAAAACCAATTCCAATTATATCATCATCCTTCTTGTGTAGTAGAAAATAACCAAAATTACTGAAAGATAGTGCAGAGATTGTAAGTGGGAGATGGTCTATTTGAATCTATCCAAGAGTGAATATGAAATTCAATGTATTGAAATCATAGACCCTGAACATAATCAAGCCAGAATTTTGCCTAAATTTTCCTGAAAGAGTGTCATATTGTGTATTTTCAAAGTAAATGTGTGAAAGACTTAGGTTCATCCTGTTCTGGAGGAGTTGTAGGAGGAGGAAATCAGGCTCCAGCGATGTATATTCACAGGAAGTTGCATATAAGCTGGCTTTTAACTGATGTAAGGTTATTTGTAGGAACATTGCTTAAAAAGGAGAGAGAAGGAAAGAGAGGTAGAGACTGTTATCTACCAGTTAGTGGTTATCCCAGCAGATCACAACCAATGAACTATATTTGAGCTTTACCACTTATTGGTAAGTGAAACATACAGTAGTGGAGATGGAATGGTAAGGAGTGGACCGGGATGACGGTGGTCACTTGTGTGACCAGTGAGTTTCTGAAAATGAACTTAGGTTCATTACAAATGTACGTGGAAAAATCTAGGGTAAACACTAAACTTTAAAGTGCAAAGTTTAACTTGTGTTCTAAGGATGGAAAATATAATCCTAGCAAAGCACAATTGAAAAGGTAGAATATTAGGGCCGGTGACAGAGTTCAGTTTAGAACACTCATCTCACAGGTACGCGGTTGGGTTTTCCCAGCACTATGGGAAAACATAAAGTTGAATAATAAATGAGCAGTGGAGATGTTAAGAAGTTAGAAGCCTAAAAGGTCATCACTGGTGTTAGAAGTACTGAGTGTCAGCAACAGAGTCAGAGGAGGAAAAATATGAGGAGTCAAAACACAGGTGTATAGAAAGTATTTGTGCCAAGTCACAGAGAGAAAATATTGACGAAACAGAGAAAATATTTTATGGGACATACAGGAACCAGTGAAATGGTGTTTTTTAAAGGATAAAGAAATTGATAAAATCTTACAAACAGAGTAAAAAATCATACTAAGAAGGCAAAATGTACCAACATAAAAATAAGATAGACAAATCATTGAATTTTTGAAAACTATTAATTTAAAAAGAGATTGCTATTTACATAGTAGCAAAAATGTTGAAAATTCAGATCTGTTAACTAGAGCTTTAGTGAACATTATAAAAACATCAATTTGTGTATTAAATAGACCAAACTTGTATATTTATACTACATATGTGAGTCTCAATAAATATGTATGTTTTGGAATTTTAAAAGCTTTATAAGTACTGTTTTATGGTCATTTATTTATGCCTTTTTACCTATTTGTATTTAAGACTTCAGTTTTGAAAATAAATTTAAATATCACAAATCATGTAAAATACCTCCTCTAGAGATTTATTATAAAATCACATTTACCAGTTAGCATAAATGCATCTAATAAAATTGCCCTTTAATTTACAGTTCTACCAAAACCTGATTAGTTGTAGTTTGGAAGTCAATAAGACATAAAAACCTGTAAATAATGATGGGTATTTGGAATTCCTTCAATAAATACAATTCATGTATTTTATCACATAATTGATATTTCCTTAACTTAAAGAAAGAACCTCAAAATTTTTCATCACTTTTGTCACCATTGGCTGAACGATCCCTGTAAAATTTCACTGTTGCTAGAATTTATCATTTTTTTCCATTCTATTTGAATATTTCCCTTTCAATTAAATTTTAAAATATTTTGAGTGACTTCACTGAATGCAGTGTATGGAATGTTGATTAACACATTATTTGCAGTATTTTAAAAAAGAAGCCATGAAGTTTGACCTGTGGACATTATTTAAATAAAGCCTATGAAGACACAGTCTCATAGGTATTACAGTGTTCATGGGCTATTGAGCAACTGCAGTCATCTTAAACATGTGTAAACAGTACATATTTCAAGTACTAATATTTACTTTAAAATGTTTTGCCGATGAGCAATGTCACAAAGATGACTGTGCACATACCTGGTGATATCACACACTGACTGACACTTAAACCAGTCATACCCGCTCTCAGTCTATTCAGTTCTTACTCCAGGGCTGAGACTTGCAGGTGATATTCATTAATCTCAGGGCCTGAGAGAAAACCTCCTCCTTCTGAGATCCATCCAGCTCCCTCTGCTTTCAAATTCCTTCCCCAAGGGGAGTAAGTATCCTTTCCCTCACTAAGCCGACCTCCGCTGCCTGCTGCAATCTTCCTGAATAACTGATGATAACAGCCAAGTGGTATGAAAGGAGGATGATGTTACAGTAACCTCCTAGTGATTTAATGGTAACATTCAGTTCCCACCATTTATCTATTCAAAAGTTAAAAAAAAAATAAAAGAAACAAATCAATCCATACAACATAGCCACCTTCTTTTGCCGTAGTCCATTTGGTTAGCTATTACAGGACAGAAAATAATGACCCAAAGATTATGTACTGAAAGACAAGATGAGGCCTCATTACCTGTCACTTTTTCAGGGTGGTCAGTGATATTCCTTAATCTGTCTGATACTATTCACACAGATCAGTAGTATATAAGTATGGAGGCAAATACAGTTCTAATTCACCTTTCATGGGGACATGAGTGTTCTATGCAGTGGAGTGAAATTCTCTCCTTAAATTTGTGATCAAGAAATGTTGAGAAAGCTTTTTTATGTATTACGCCTTCAAAATTTTCTATTTAATATTTGTATGAGCTTAGGAAAAAGCAAGTATTTTCTTGACATTTTAGAAACACAACAGAACATATGCCTTTAAAATGCTATTTTAATAAAACATAAACTTTAAGGTGTATCACATGCACCAGTGACATACCAAATCTAAATATAACTAAGAGTGTATGTACTCTTAGATGGCCACACCCATCTGTAACTAGCAGACAACGCAAGTGTTATAGTCAGCTACAGGGCTGCACAAATGTTATTACAAATTTGCATATTACTATTAGATAAGCATACATGCAAATATAGTTAGTAACTCAATCTAAAATCTAAGTTAGGGGTGGACATCTGAATAGATGCTGTCCAGTTTTATGTTTTCATATATAATGAAGAAAATGGTAAGTTGAAACGTAACATCAGTTGATTACTAATATACGGAAAGGTGCTAAACTTTTCACATGTATTTCTTTTAACATAATGGTCAGAAATGCCATCAATTGCAGATACTAGAGAAATCAAATAAAGTTAAGGGTTTCTTTCCTCCCTCAAGCACATAACTAGTTGTTTGAAGAACTAAAACCCACTACTGCCCAATGTTGGTGAAACAAATATGCTAATTTTTCCAAAATTTACACACTTGGATAAACCAGGAAGGCTTAACATAGTGCAACCATTTGTAAGCATAGGAATTCCCATTTTACTTCTTTTAGCATTACTATGTTTGAATTTCAAATTTCATTTTCAAATAAATATATGTTTTCATCAAGCTTGAAATTTTCAGCATAACCTTTAAAAAGATATCGTTCACTTCTCAATATAGACTAATGTCAGAGGATAATTCATCAAAAAACATATGCACACATACACACATACACAAAAATACATGGAGACACAGTTCTAAGATCAGTACTGACAGACCCTTCCCATAATGAACAATCTTTACCATCTACAATTTAAGTTAATATAAAGTTGCTTAGTTTAAATATAACAAAATATTTTATTTCTGTGATGAACCAAGTAATTGTGTAAATCTATTAGTAATGAGATTCATAAACGTCACTTTATCAAGAAAACAAGAAAAGTAGCAGCATGTTAGATGTCGTTTTAACAAATTTCAAATGTGATTACATGTAGGGAGATTTTTGGTGCTAAGTGCTGAAAAATGTTACAGATGTTAAAAATCAGACCAATCAACAAGTAAGTAAATGTGCCTCAAATAATATCCACAGTAAGTGAAATATGCATTGCAGGATTCTATATCATTATACAGAAAAATTTTCATATATAAATTACATATGTATTGTGAAAACATTAAATTATATGTAGAATCTAGTTTTCCAAAAATATTTTTCCAAATTTAAAAGTGTTTTGTCACCTAATTTAATTAATCTGTGATTTCATTTTCTTTTATACAACAACGTGATAAGTTATAAAGAAATAAAAAGCAGGAACGTTTCACTTATAAAAAGGTTCCAAGAAAACCTGGAAATCAATATTTCTTTGTGAAAAAGAAGAGTAAATAAAACAAACACTAAAATCATATTTCCAAACTTATGTTTGCTTTTTAACAATTGTATTTCATCTTTCCAGAGATTAGATGAAGAGGAATTTTCTTCATTTTAATACATGAATATTTCAATTCAAGCAGATAAATAATGAAACAGATTATATGACCTTATTTTCCTGATAGCTGAAAAGTATCTCAGTACAATACTCCGTAAAAGTTTTATGATGCAAGGTGGTACCTTAGTTACCGAATTTAATTTATTCCACTATTGAAGGGAACACACCATAGGCCTGTTATCACCTGATGCAGAGTTCTTGAACAGAAGCACAACTTTGCTGAATGCTTCCATGTTGTGAAATGAATTATTTGCTTACAGAAGTGTCCGTGAGCCAAGATATTACTGAATTCTAAATATGCTTCCTTTACATAATTGAGTATTTTTAAAATATTAACAATTTCAATAATTATAATTGCCCCAAACAAACAACAAAGATTGTTGTCTTCCAAATTATATGATTTTAGCTAGCCATGCTTTTCAAACATCCTCACAAATAGAAATTTTGGATATTATATAGATCAATACATAGATATATAGATACATAGATACAGATTCATAGTTAAATAGACAAGTAGAGATGAAGGCATTCTAAGTAATATGTGTAGCTATATCATATTTTTCCAGTACCACGCGAGTTTTTGTAACTATGCATATTTTGACATTCTTTGACAAATGTTTTTTCAAAACTAGTGTGCATATGCTTAGGACATATATGAAATTGAAGATGGAATGAATTTGAAATATGCATGGCTGTAATTTATGAAAAGATATTTTTAAGGTCACTAGATAAAAAGATACCTAACTGAAATATAAGCAGAATAAATACACAATTCATTGAGTAAAATAAGTAGAAGAAGAAAAATGTTTGTTTTTAATATTAGAAAAGAAAATGTGTGTTATATCTCCAGATATGTGTGTTATATCGCTTCAAACTTCAAAGATTGAAGTTTATCATTAAATATTGTCTGTGGTGCATTACTATGCATACACAACTGAAGATACTCTAGAATTTTATATAAAAATTAAATTGTATAGAGATTACTCCAGTTTGAAATTCCAGCTCTTTGGAAAATTGACATATATCCTTGGTATACAATGTACTGATCCCTGAGAAATTTATGGTGATAAAAAACTAGAACAGACATCAGTGTTATTGACTATATGAAATACTTCTATTCATGTTAAAAGGAAAATAATAGTATTACTGGTTATGTAACTTTTCAATAGCCACATAATTTAATAGTACAAAGATACTAAAATAATAATTTTGAATAACATTAGCTGGCAATGAGTCAATATTACAGTGCTATCCAGTGATATACGTAGGACCAAGCAGATGTTCTAAGTAAAATGTGCCTTACATAGGCATATAATAACATTCAATAATTAACTGCAGTTGAGGTCATTACAACTGGCCAAGTCATTTATAGTTTTCTTATTTTATTTTACTCACTAAATTGTATTGTAATCTGCATTACCTTCATAGTAAGGGAAATGTGACATTGAAAATAAATAATAGGATTCAGGTTAGGTAACGGTCTGCAGCCTTATTTTATTATCATATCGTGAGTGATGGAGACCACTGCAAAGCAGCTCTGAGCAGGATTTAATATTAACCAACTGGCTTTTCATGTTTACTTGTGAGTTGTCCGAAGCTTAGGCACCTTGTCTGGAGATGGGCAGCTGACTCATAGTAAGTGAACCTCTGTGAGTCCCTGGTCCCCACTGAAGCCTGTATTGGCCTGTGAAGCTGTGACACCTCAAAGGACAAGAGAAGGTCACAACTGAGGACATTGGCTCTGAACTCAATTAACTAGAAGGAGAGTACAGTTGCAGGCTCCACACTCCTACAAAAAATGCCAACCTAAGGATAAGGTAGTTCTCCTCATTGACATAATTTACTACTTGGGAAAATTCTCCCAAGGTCCTGCTCACATTCCTGCAATTTCTTCAGTATTTCTCTCCTTTGTTTGAAAACATAATAAATATGCACTGCCCAGAAAAGTTCTTGGTCTTAACTCAGATAATCTTGAATTCTGTAGGACAGTTAGATCCTCCTGGAGCCCTAAAATCATTTCAGTCATCTCATTTATTTAAGCCTTCACTGTCCACTCGTTTGTGAGATTGTGGGTGGGCCTGATCATCCCATAATAACTAAGGGTTGTTAAACTCAATATATGCCCTCATGTGTGAGTCAGCTGTTTGCAGTCTTGCAGGGAAGCACAACAACTAGAGAAGAAATCTTTTAATGTGGGAGAAGTAAAACAAAGAGAAGTGGATTATTAAATGGGAGATAGAAGTCCCTGTTTTCTATTTTTTAAACTGAAAAAAATATCATCATATATGAGCTTAATATTGCACTTGGATTAAGATTTCAAAGTTGAATTAACAACCAGGAGGAATTTAATGTAAAAAGAGCACAAAATGGAATATTTTACTCTTTTATTATTTTTATACAGATATTTTTATTGGATCCTTATTAGGTAACACATTAAGAATAAAAGTCTTACTCTTAGAACATAAGAGAACAAATAAAGTAAAAATACAAATGGAATGAACATAAGACTAAGGGTGTGTGATTTACACTCATATGTTAGTTGGTAAGAACTGTACATTTACATATAGTTCTTAAACTGATTTTTTAGCATTCACTTATTTGAAACTGTAAAGTTGATATGCCATGTAAGTATTAGTTGAAACCTTATAAAACAATTTTTCTGGTGGTATTTGTGGGGAGAAGAAAATTTTACTGTAGTCTAGGTGGACACGATTTAACAATGACACTTGTATAATCTAGAGAATAAACATTACTTATTTTAGAAATGCTACCTAAACTACAATGACATTAAATATATAGATCCTTCCTAAACTCTTTTAGTTTATAAATTATCAAATGAAGGTATGAAAGTTAAAATTTTAATAATCAAGCTGCAAAAACAGACAAAAGGATAAAAGGCAGATTAAAGTTTTGCATATCCACTAAATTTGACACCATTTTTTCTTATACTTCAAGAAATAACTCAGTTAGACATGGGCTATCCAGTTATCAATCCTGTTTTGTAAACTCAGTTATAATGAAGAGACAGAGGCAAAGACAACAGACATACACTATCATAGAGGAAAAGACAGAAGAACCATAGGCCCGTCAAGGAATTCAATAGAGCACAACAATCTGAATAACATCAGTTTGCAGGAAACACAACCTGAACCCAGTATATGCTGATACTTAAGGGAGTAGCTCCACACGTTACAACTTTTCACTTTTTTTGTTTGTTTGGTGCTAGCTATTGAATACAGGACTTCAGGCTTGCTAAGCATACACTTCATCACTGAGCTTTATTCTTTGTGTTCCCTGCCCCAGTTCCTGTTTTACATCTTTGTTTTGTTTTCCATACAGGGTCTCACTAAACAGCTCAGCCTGGCCTTGAACTCACAATCTTCCTGCCTTACCCTTCTGAGTGCTAGGATTACAGGCATGCTCCACTATCCTTGGCTCTCAGCCCCACATTCTGACTTTCACACTAATCAAGCCAAAGAAAAAATTGTCAGTATTTTGTTTAAAGGCAGGGAAGTGTATCAAATTCTTTTGAAACATGTCCATGTAATGTAAAGTTTATCTAGAACATCTCATTTTCTGATGGTGCATCATTACTGTCCTTAAAGTTAATAAAGTGAACAAGGTAACATCATAGCAAATCTATGGATATTTAAGGAACATGGTAAAAAAAACTAGTAAAATTTACTTCTCGTAAAAACTCAGCCTGCTGAGACTGACCAGGTAGGATCAGCTTTCCACACACAGAACAACTCCTAGGACAAGAATGTCAGTGTAGGATCTTACTTCCACAAATACTCAGGTGCTTGGCCAACTCCAGGATCAAGGGAAGTATGAAGCAAGACAAAGGCCCAGGAGTAATAAAACCCTCCCTCCCTCCTGGAGCTGTATTTCTCCTCTGAGGCGTCATCTCAGAATACATAGGCCACAGTGCTGTATTAGGGCCACATACAAAAGCATCAGTTTCGCCTCTTGACTCTGATAGCTGCTCCAGTGAAGACACAGAAGGGTAACGGTCTTTCAACGTATCTTGCAATTTAGAATCTTCTCTTGAAGGCGTCGAGAATGTCTCGCCGGTGTTAGAAAATTTAGCTTCTTAAATGCAGAATGTGTTTCATCAAGTTGCTTCTTCCTTTTTAAACTTTGCAAGTATGGAGTAGTAGATATGATATATTTAATTAAGCAACTTGATCTGTTTTCCGTATCAGGGGTTTTAAAGTTGTCTGTTGGATCTTTTGTTTTGTCATCTTGCTGCAATTCACAGTCTTCAGATACCACAGTTCTACTATGTTGATTTTCTATTTCTGGTTTTCCTAGCTCTAGATTAACACCTGTATCTTCAATGTAAATTTCCAGGATTTGTTCATGGGTGCTATAAGCATCTTCAGTATTTCTTCCACAATTATTTTTTTCTTGGTTCTTCATTGTTATAATATCCACAATGGTCTCTTCAATAGGCTGAGCTCCTACCAGAATGGCCTTCTCATAGAGTGAGATAATATTTTCAATAAGACTTGTGATTGATTCGATGTGTATAGGACACATGCAATATTTAACAAGTTTTTTAGCATTTGGAATATTTATAATCAAGTCATTCAGTGTGGTCATTATTTCTTCTTTTGGCATCCATTATTCCCTTGTTAAGCAGGTTCAGGCCTTCAGAAAATGTTTACTCTGTCAGTAAATAAACTTTGTTCATCCTCCTCTGAATTTTCATTTCATCTCTTGGGCTCAGGCTGGGTAGCAACAGAGTGCCTCTTCAGCACTTTTCCTTTGCCAGCTCTCCACTCATTCAGGCAAGTTTTTCTTTCTTCTACGGTTGTTTTGTTTGAGCTGATCTATCTACAGTGGCTTTTGCTAATGTACATCTTCGTTGGTCAATAGTTTTTTACTTTTCTTTCACTTTGGTTTTAGTACATGAAACAGGCCTGGCTACAGTTTCAGATGCCATGTGATTCCATGACATAGATTTTTTTCTCTTCGGTAGTTTTTTTGGGCTGAGCTGATCTATCCACAGTGGCTTTTGCTAATGTACGTCTTCACTGATCAATGGTTGTTGACTTCTCTGTCAGTTTGCTATGAGTAAATGAAACAGGCCTGGCTACAGTTTTAGATGCCATTTTTTGGGATAATGCCTTACTTCTTTTTATGCCCTGAGAAGTGGTTCTGACCCTAGGTAGAACTGTTTTTGATTGAAAGGGCTTACTCTTTGTGTCCTGAGATGAATTGGGCTTGACATTGCATAGAAGTGTTTCTGACCGTAATAGTTCTTTCTCAGTAGGCTTTTTTTGGACTGTAATACTGGCAGCGGTTCTGCTAATGTCTTGTTTGACCCTGTTCTGAATGTTCCTGTGGTGATTTCTAATGGGAGGCCGCAGAAGTTGTGTGTTCTCACATTTAGTGGTAGCAGTCATATTTGAGGCTCTATGACTTTTTATTGTTACACTGCTAGTGTTTACAGAGTTCGGCTTGGTGCCTTTAGAGATAGTAGTTGAAAGGTTGTTGTTGCAAAACTCTCATCTTTGACTTGTGGAGGTTTTCTGAATGAATTAATATTAGGCTGAACAATACGGCTATGATAATATCCTAGCATAGGTTTCTTCAACATGTTAGCATCTTGCTTGGGTTTTTCTGCAATCATTTGTTTCTTTTTATAATTCTCTTAAGATGAAACTCCTGGCTTAGTGTCCTATTTTGAGGTTGGGAATCAGTGTCAATTAGTAACAGCTGCAGAGTTTGATGATCAGCCTAGAGGTAATGTGCGTCAATTGTTGTAGTACAGTTGGTTAATTCAGTAGAGGCTTTTAAGGGAAATAATTCTTTCCCTTTGTTGCATTAGTGTTTTCTGTATGTCTTCTGATATTTTCTTTGTCAGCCATTTTTGTTTTAAGTTTCAGAAGTTTTATCTCTTCTTGGACCTGATCTTCAGATGTCATCACTCTATTACTGCGAATCTGATTTTCCTGTTTGTATGTCAAAGTGATTTTAACAGATATTTCTTGAGTATTTGTCTTCTTTGCTCTGAGGAGTGCAGCTGGGCGTGAAGCTGGTCCTTGGCGCAGGGTCCTGAGCGCTGGATCCGCTCCCAGCAGCTTCACTTCACAAATCGGTCACTCATCAGCTCTCGCTGCTTCCCCTGCTATTGTCACCTTTGAATGAAGACTGGGCTCTTTCTCTGGCCCTTTTTCAATTTAGGTTCATTTAGTGGTCTTCAAACAACTATAGTTAGTCCAATGATAATGCATTTGTCTAAATGTATTATAATTATCTGAAACATAAGATTTGCATACGTTTATAAAGTATATCTCATAAAAATTTAAAGCAAGGGAAGAAGTTCACTATTTCTTTATAAAATTAGCAAAATTAATTTTACATTTCTAATGGACAATACATTTGAATTAACTTTGGAATTACTTTGTATAATTTAACATTCACTTTGAGATTAAATCAAAAAATTTTTAACCTTTCTCTTTTTTATTTTAAAGAAAATAAAAACTAGAAAAAAAACATTAAAAACAATTCAGAATTTCAAAACAAGGTGATAGGAATTCAACAATGGTAATTATATTGCACATTGTTATCTTCAAAGCAATTGTTCAGATTACCAGGCATAAACATGTAAAATTGGTCAAAAAGATTAACCATTAACTGTTCCCTTCAATAAACCAGTAGGAGGTCATAGTACAATTACTTCAGCTATCTTGTGTGTGTATATATTTTTTTCTCCTGCATTCTTTTCTCCTTTCCCTAGCAGTTCCTTTCCCTTTCATAATATCTACGGTACCTTGAATTTTATTTACTCTTTCAGTTTCTTACCTAGGGAGACAAGACTTGACATCAGGTTATGGTTATTAAAGTATGATAGTGAAGTCATTTTTGAAAATTAAAAACTAAAGAAAATATATGAAGACTGAGAATATGAAATGTATGCAAATAATGTAATTTTAGACGATATTACATAAATGACAAAATAACATATTTTACAATGACTTTGAAATTACATTCAACATAGTTATATATATATACATATATATACACAAACACACACACACACACACATATATATATGGCTTCCATGTGCATTGCTTCTTCAAAGGATAATTTCACTTATTTCATCTCAAAAGTGTATTTTTCCAATTTGGCCAAATTGCTTGCATGGAAATCTTTCAGGTGTTGATAGAAATAGATTAAAATCCATGAGAAGTATGAAGCGGTTCATTTTCATTGTTATTAGTGTGAGATTGTGGTGCCCAGTCAATACATTCACTGCAGAGATTGTACTGTACGTATCACATCTCTGACCTGTTCCCTTCCTTTCCTTCGATCTCCCCTCTCTTTAGATACCCTTCCCTTCTCCAAAATGTTCACCACCCTGTTTCTTTTACATGGGTACACTTATGTCCTAACAGGGTCTCCGTAGGAGACTATTGCCTTTGACCCCTCTTTCCCGATAAATCACCCAACACAGCTCCCTCCACACACATCTTCCACACTACATCACCCTTGTGCGGGAGACCAGTGCCACCCGTATCACTGTCGCTTCCTGGCCGTGACTTTGCAGAACTCACGGAAATCTTTGCATCTCAGTTTCTTCCTCATAAACTGGAGACAACACTTTCTCCATCATGTTGTCACGAACAGGAATGGCACAGTATATGAAAATGCCTCCTGCGGTGCCTGGCAGAGGGGAATGCATGTTCGCCAAATCGTGTTCTACACATTATACTTGATACCTAAGCTGGGCGTGGTGGTGCACACCTGTAATCTCAGCACTCAGGAGGCTGAGGCAGGAGGGTTGTTGCAAGTTCAAAGCCAGGCTGGGCTAAAAAGTGAGCTCAAGGCGAGCCTGAACTGCAGAGCGAGACTCTGTCTCAAAAAGACAAAAAAAAAAAATTGATATCTAACATGCTACACATTTTATTCCTTAAATTCTTAATCACCTCTCAACTATTGAAATTTCTATGTGGGCCTGACTTTTCTATGTTTCATAGATGATGGTAGGAATTCATTAAATGATTGTTGGAAAAATAGCATGAAATAAATACATCATTCATAGAAAATAAGAATCAATCATCGGTATTCCAGTTCACCAGGAGTTCACAGATCAGTAAAGATGGAACGCATATCATTATTTGATCCAGCCAAAAGGATTCTGTACAAAATTAACTTGCATTTTTCAGTAGGAAACTCTTTAAAAATTTGAATCCAAGCTTAACTTGTGCATCTTTAAATATAACAACGATGTGTTATTATCCTGAATATATTCACAGCAGTATATAATGTAACAGCAGATTAAGATAATGACAAAATAAAACCATAAGCATTTTCCCCATCAGATCTGTCAGTTGTTGGCAGAAAATGCAAACACAAAAAATATTTGTCTCCTACTTTCCTATTCGGTAGCATACATTCCTCTGTGCCTGTTCTAGCATGACTTCCACAGCCAGTGCAATGGGAATTTGAAACAAAGAAGCTGAGAAATGAGAAAAGCACAAAGACAACATGGGCAGATCTCTCAGCCTGGTCAGAAGTCATCAAACTACAGTGTGAGCTGACAGATGCGGGTTTCAGAAGGTCCCGTTCTCTTTGAGAGCTGACCACCACTCCCGACACAAAACAGAAGGTTCCAGTCACCAGAAGAGTGAAAGTCATGCACAACTGAAAAGCATACTCTTTGAAACTTCGGAAAAAGTTTATGAGCAAATGGCACAAAGGGAAAAGTGAGGTGGTGAGCATGCGGCAACTGTCTTTCAATTTACCTTGCACGGAGGGAAATACTTGGAAATTTTGTTATCTCAGATTTTCTTCAATACTTTATACTCTAGGGCAGGAAGCACAATTCTTTTTGCCATTCTAAATTCTCAGGTGGGGTCCTGTGAGTTAGATGTCAAAAAAGAGATTGTTGAGAGAAAACTCGCAGAAATTAGTTAACGTGTTCATTGCGTACAGAGGCGGGAGCAGTAGGCAGTGTGTAACTCACAGGAGCGGTTTAAATGTGGAGCCTCTGCATACAAGGTATTAGGAGTAAGGGGTGTGCGAATGGCAGGTGTGTAGCAGGACTTTTTGGAGAGATAAATGGGCTTTAAGAGGATGGAAGGGAAAGGTGTTTGTCTCACGGTGCCTGTTTATATGTCGTGCAGTAGCTCCTGGAAAGTATGCTCTTGGCAGCTGTGTTCCTTTATGTTCTTTTGGGAAACTCTGCTTTTAGGCAGATAAAAGATTTCAGGAAGTCAGATTCCTTTAGGTTAAAATAATTCTTATGCCAATGTGTTTAGGAGGGAATATCCTTATCTCCTTCACCACCTACAACACCATTCGATGTTTCTGCATGCTGGTAATAGCTTTGGCAACGTTACAACAGTGGGCCTTTCTGGAAAATACTGCAGACACCAACCTATCACTTAGATATGGTCAGTAAGCTCTTTCTTAAAATTCCCAAAGTGAGTATTTATATCCATAAAGGGAATAGTAGTCAAAAGCCATTGAAGTCGGCAACGTCTATCAGTTCTCTCTCGGACAAATTTTCATGCAGTGAGTTTAGAAATATTATTTTACCAATTCAAAATTTAAAATTGTCAAAGTATTACAAATATAGCTGTATTCAAATCCTTTGAAATAGTCAGACTGTTAATACAACTAACTTAGCATTGTCAAGTTTGCGTTTATTAGACAAAATGATTGCCCTTCATGGTAATCATAAGGAGGAAATTATTCTATGTATGTTAACTTTCATAAGAGATATCAGCAACACCAAAAAGCCTTTCATTGGAGGTTTTTTCATCTTAAAGAGTTGAAGTTATTTTAACACCCAATTAATGTTGTCTTCCTTCTATTAGAAAGTATTACCCCCAAGGCTGAAACTCAAGGCAGGCAACAGTTGAGTGGATAAATCATCACTTTCAAACTTCAGGTAGGACGAATTGATGACACTTGCTTTTTTTCTCCTTCACCTACATACATACATTAAGATCTTTTAGTTCAGATGTTCCAAGTACTTATGGAAAGATTTTACCTTACAGTGTAAAAATGATGCATTGGTCCATGACTGAATAAAGCCAACTAATCCACTTAGGGATGATTAAAGCACAGTTAGCAATGGGGTTCTGCACCGTTATAGTTGTATACGCAATTTCATCAGGGCGGAGCTGTCCAATTACCTTCAAATATATACTAGCAATGTAAACATTACAGTGTGCTGTGAACATTATGGAACAATAAAATATGCATCAATTTATGTAAATCACCAAGCAATTTTTTTCTAATTGCTTTCTGTGTGGCTGTTTTAGTAGCAAAGTCAGCTAAAGGTCAAATAAAATACCATATAATTTATAGGATAGAGGGGGGAAAAAGGAATCTAATTATCCTAGTTTAGGAAACACTATAGCCACAAGATGAAAAGCTACTTTGGAAAAGTTTAGTTTGCCTCTCAGAGCCAGGGTTTTGCAAATTAAGACAGGATCTGTTTTCTAAAGGCTGTTTTCTCTGTTAATTATATTTTACACTGTATTTCCTTTTCAGCAGATGAATCATGTTGCCTACCGTGTCAGCAGCCAGCTTTTCAGAGAGCTGTTTCAAGATTCTCAGCCCGCCATCCTCCCTGTCATTAACCCTAACTGAATTCACGCCAAGCTGCCTCTTCGGCTTGCGTGAGTGCAGTTGGAACGGGTGGCATCCATGCTTCATTGAAAATACCTATGCAGAGAGTGGGAGGATCCAACTGTCATGTTTTATCAAGTTGTTTAAGTGCACATTTAGGAGGTGACTAGTGAGAGTTTATCCACTATTTCCAGTTATAATGGCTCAAATTCAGAGGGAGGCAAATTATTTCTCTCAACTCTACCTCGTCTCTCCTTTCTTCTCCTCACAGCTTTCTACTTTTTCTTTTCCTTCTGTCCTCTCTCTCTTCCTGTCTCAGTCTTTCTTCAGTTTTTCTTTTTTCCTTTTTGCTTCTGAAAGCCAGATTGTTGCAAGTTAGAGAAAAAATATTTCTAAAGGCTGCTTTCTTAATTGTAATTGGTCCTTTCATGTCCCTTTGCCTTATTTCCTTTCACCTTTCTTTTGTAGTCTTTATTTCTGATTGTGTTCCTTGCTTTAATTTTTCTTTTCTGTTTTTATCCCTTCTCTCTCCTCCACTTGTAAAGGAATCATACAACAGACTAAAGATTTCTGGTAAGTGTAGATTCAGATTCTCACATTTCTTGAAGCAGGTCTGAGTTTTTACTGACTGACCTACAGCACTTTGACTGCTACAATAAAATATATTAAAGGAGCAGTTTATAAACAAAGCAAATTTTTTTCCCCAGAATTCTAGAGTCTAGAAGTCCAAGATCAATGAGTCAGCAGATTAAATATCTGATGAGATCCATTTTCTGCTTTACACAGCTATGTTTTCACTGTCACCTCCCATGGCAGAATACACAAGTGTTTCCCTGGAGTCTGTTTTGTTTAAGCCAGTAAGCTCCTTCATGAAGTTTCTGCCCCTGTCACACCTTCCAAGTGTCCAATCTCCTAATAGCAACTGGGAAGAGATAGTATAAATTTGTATAAATTGACATAGCTCATGGCATAAGTCTATTCAAATTTACATACAAATTTTGAGTGTACACAAACAATTGGACCATAAAATTACTCTCTATGAACTATACAAGGAATATTTTTACGTTCTGCTTCATTGCAATGCCATGTCTTAAACTAACGTTGGATTTTAAAAAGCTACCGGAAAAGCCTCCTTACACAAGGTACAAAATGATTACTTTTAGAATTTTCACTTACTTATCATTTTTTCACGAATAAGAAAGGAAAAGGAGAAGGAGGGCAGGGATTGGGGAGAAATCATGAAGGCCTTCACAATGCGTGTTTCTTACCCTTACAGTGGCCTCTGTGTTTGAGTTATAGAGTAGGTCCGTGGTGGACAAGCAAAGATGAGCTTCAGAAAACACTAATGTTTCAAAATAAATGAAGACAACATATAATACCAAATAAAGAGATCATTTCTATATCACTAAATACTTCGCTGGTTTGGTACAGAAAAAATTATCATGAGTGACAAAATCACAAAAATGCGATGACATTACAGTAAAATTGCCCTGTTACAGAATAAAAAAATTATGCAGGTCCATCACTAAAATGGTTAAATGTAAAAAGCTTTGTCTGTGTGAAGTATGACTGAAACCTACAGCAAATGCTTAAATATTGAATTATCACAATAAAAGACACGTTCCCCTTATCCTCTCTAAAGCCTTTACCTCTCTTTGAACACACAGTCACTCTGCCATTCTTGCCAATTTCTGAAGCCGTTCTGGAACTGCTATTTCATGAGTGTCTTCAGTTACACTCCCTTTCCTGTCTGGGTGTCTTGAATGCTTCAGAACAATTCCCTTGCATAGTCTTTTTGATTCCGGGGAAGAGCCAGAAGTCACACGGTTCCTGATCTTCTGAATAAGGTGGATGAGGACACGACATAATGTATTTACTTCTGTTGAATGCCTAGGAAGCAGCCTTTACCATTTTTTTTCTGAGACATGGTCTTGCCATGTAGTGTAGGCTAACCTTGAACTCACTCTGTAGTCTAAGCTGGCCTCAAACTCTGTGATCCTCCTGTCTCAGCCTCCCAAGTGCTGCAATTACAGGCGTGCACTACCATGCCTGATTTACCATATGTTGAATGCAATTAATGAAAACATTCATGAAAGATGACTTCTAGAACTGCTTCAGAATGTAATAAGAACAGAGAAGTAAATGTGTTTAAAAGGAGAGGGAGTATTTTGAGGGAGGTTAATCAGAATATATTCTTTAATAAAATTTAAAAAATTAAACATTTACCATATATACTGATCACACCTAATAAATATGGTAACATTTTTATAAAAGGTTACTTATTTTCTACTTTTCTTTCTTGGTGCTGGTCAATAAATATAGTGTCCTATTCAAGGTGTATATTAATCTTTACAAAAATATGCGTAGGTAGCTACTGGTTATCAGTGACTGTTTTGGGTATGTAAGGTTGAAAGACATTCTTTTTATTAGAAGCACCATTCCATTTCTTGGGAATTCTTATAAAGAGATAAATATTTTAGTTAGGGAATTGTGTATTACCAAAGAAATATGCAACGTTAAATGCAAGGACCCAGAAGAAGGATTGGTAGTCACTTAGTCAAAAGTAACAAAGAATTATCAGTGGACAAGCCCTTGAGGATACCAGCCAATTTGATTTACCATATCCTCAGTGCTATGCAATTGCTTGCACGAAACTCTATTATTATTATCTTATAATAACTAACATCTCAGAGGACACCTGAAGGGAAACCAAGACGAAGACAAGTGAAATAAATGTTAGGAGGAGCATTTCAGACAGACAGAAAGGCCGTGCCAGGCTTAGATACACATATTGACCAGAAGAGTGGAGAATTTCAGTTCAGGGTAGACAAGAGGGAGGACAGACAGACATGAGCTCGGCAGACAAGTGTCAAATAGAGGTGGAGCTTCTATAAAGAGCTTGTATTTTATTATGAAAGCTCTCTGTAACCACTGAAGGACTTTAAATTGCTGACTAATTTTCATAAGACTGATTTATGTCCCTGAGTCCTTGAGTGTATAATGATTTGCATAGCTGCTGTAATGGTATTCCAGGGCACTGCATGAATTCAAGTTCAGAGATGTCAATGAGTAATATCCCTATTAATGATGGCACTATCAAAAGCATGTGTATGTGATTTACTGTGACATTCAAAAGACTTATTGTTGAATAATGAAACATTACTTAACGTGGACTAGCAGGGCAGAGAAAAGTTAGTGTAAGACTGCACAGGATTTATAGATCAAAGAAGAAGCATATTAAAGTTGTTCCAAGCTAACTCGAGTCTGACTCTTTGTCGATGGTTGCTAAAAGATTTGTTAGTGGTACAACAATAGGAAAGTATTTTTTCCATTTGTAGGGCAAATGTGATGCACAATGATGTAAAACAGAAAAATAAAGTTTTCAAGAGTAGTTCATTAAATCCAAGATCGCAATCTCACAAAGTTGACATGGATTAAAATATGCAAATTCATGCATATCTAAATATACAGAGGGGCAGAGTGAGAAGTACAAAACATGTGTGTTTTCTCAAATTCAATTTTTGGAAAACAAATTACAGTCATTATTTTCACTATGGTTTTGTAAGATAAAAATGGTATAATGTAGTATATCATCTCAAGATGACACCAAATCTTAATCAGCTTTCATTCAAAAAGTTCTCTCAAGAAGAACATATATAAATACATCTTATTTATGTAATCAGCCCCACTCATGCTAAGTGTCTGTACATTAAAAAGAAAATGTAAACTATATAACAATCTTCAAATATAAGATAATCAAAGGGCTGGGGATATAGCTCAGTGGCACAAAGTACCTGCTGGACAAGTTCAAGGTCCTGACTGATTCCCCATACTAAAAAAACAAAACAAAACAAAACAAAAAAAAAAACAACCAAAAAACCGTAAGATAATCAAACTCATCTTTTAATGTTTACATTCTGGCAAACTAAATTATGACAATCTGTTTGACTGTATACTTTTAATATCAACATGGGACTCTTTAGAAATTCATCTTGTTGAAAAGAGTTTGAAATTTGTAAATGTTTCATTATAAAGTACTTATGGGAACATTGAAGAACTGATCAAAATAATTAAATTTAAAATAGTAGCATGTTTACTATGATCACTACTAGCCCAGTAAACAAGGATTCATAGAAAAACATTTGATGCCCAACAAATACCTGCAGAAGAAATGGATTTGGTAAACTGATAAGGAAAACTTGATTCATGTCTTAGTGTTGACATAGTTAATATTCTAAAAACATTCTCTTTTTATACCAAAAGGAACAAAAGTATATCTTTAATATGCAGATATCATTTCATTCAATCTACCCACTCCAATCTTTGCAGAACGGCTTCCAATTTTATCTACTTAACTGGTTCTTTGATATTTTCTTGATAACCAATTTGGAATCTCTTTTGAGCTCATATAGTTGTGATAGAGAACATTGCCTTAAATAGTTATGAATGAGATAAGTCCACAAACATTTTTTTATGTTACAGTGTAACTACAGAAGTAATACTTCCTTCTGCAATTCCACTGTATCTGTTTTTGTACAGGCACCAGTCACCTGTAGATATCACAATAGTCTCTGCTTTATACAAGCCAGAGTAGATATTATAGTCAGAATAGTCTTTGTTAAACATCATTTCCACAAAGATTATTTCATTGTAAAAATGTTCTGTGAATTCTATTGTTCTGTTAACTTGAAGTTAATACTTAGAACTTCATTTAATACAGAATTTTTGAATAGTAAGCATATGCCTGATATTTTAAGTATTTGCAGGTACAAAGATGAACAAGTATGGGGTACTTTTGGGGAGCCAGGTGGAGATTCATGCCTATAAGTGCATTAATTCAGTACAACATACTACATGCATTAATAAAAAAATGCAATAGAAGGGAATCCCAGTTTCAGTTCAGACATTTTAAACCTCAGAATTCATCATTCCTATCAGCACACTAAGAAAAATCTAGAGACACTGAAAAGCAGTGACTTATGTTGAATGCATAGAAAAGGAAAATTTCAGAGACAAAGTTCACTGTGACTTGCAGAACCAGGCTCCTCCACAGAGGTATGGTCACCAAGGCTTACGTAGCACACAACAAGCTGCTGAAATCATAAACATGTAGAAACACATCCATGGTGGTTTGAATAAATTATTGAGCCTAAGTTCAGTCTAATAGATGAGAGAAAAATATATAGGTCAACAGTCCTAAAACTCTCCTGTATTGGGGATTTTTCTTCCAGGATCAGATGAGAGCCTCACAGAACATACGAGAAGAATTAGATTGTTCAAAACTCTCAAAGCTGTCTCCATAACATCTGTTAACAGTCCAATGGAAAAGACTGCACCAGCATGTCAAAGCTTTTCAATATACAAAATAGAAAAATAAAACGTGACTATTACCCAGCAAGAGGACGGGAAGAAAGAAACTAGAATTTAAAAAATCGTTGCCACATAACATGGCGAATCTCAAAGGTCCTTGTTAGAGTAAAAGATGCCTGTTAAAAGTGAGTGTATTATATAACTATATTCTCTGGGCATTTTCAAGTTCAGAAACTGTAGTAACGTTGATCTTGACGGTGATGTTGTCTCAGTGAATTTGAATGTGTAGTAAAAGCCACACTCCATGCAATAGTGACAATGCCAATTAAATATGATTTTCTTTTTCTTTTTTATTTTAAAAAGAATAACCAGAGAAGAACAAAGCAAAATGCCAACAGCATAAGCAAAAACAAAGCAAAAAACAACAAAGACGATACAGGGTTTCAGAACAGAACGATAGGAATTAACACTGGTTATACGGCACACTGCTGTCTTCAGTGAAGTTGCTCAGGTCACCAGATGTGACAATGCAAGGTGGATCAAACCATTAAAGAAAATAAAACATAAAAACAAAAAAAATTCTAAAAGTCCATAAATTAGTTTAAGACAGTAAGGACTGCCTAACTTAAAACAGTGGTTATAAGCATAAAGATAAGTAAAGAAGCTTTAGAAAATACAGCGGGAAATGAAGTACTAACAGATAATTGATTAGCTACATTACCTGAGGAGAATTACTGGGTCAAGGTGATGAGGTATTTTAGATTCTGTGATTTTGTGCGTGAGGCTACCCTTAGCACAACGGGAGAAGCTAAGGCTTGCCCAGGATAAAGTGCTAAATTATTGAGGCAGTGAATGTGATCCAAAATATGAAGCTGGTAATTGATACTGCATCTGGAAATCAGTTGTCCAGGTCTCCAAAACCAGGAGTTTACACAGAATACATGACCCTGAGTTTGAGTGCTAATTATCAAAATCATCATCATCTTTCACTATACGTAGGGACAGAATGACATGGAAAACTTAGAAGGTCATCTGATGAAATGTCAGTCTGAAAAAGTAAGAAGGAACTACACTACAGTTTGAGAAGTAAATAGAATATAATATCAAAATTTAATGCTTTATAAAGTAATTATTAAGGCATAGTCCTGCAGTGTGATCTGGGTGTCCCTAATATTTGTTATTTTGCTTTGATTGGGGTTAAAAAATAAATAATAATTAGGATATCAACTCATGTAAATAATTTGCATAACTAAAAGTAGGGTGAATACAGGACTGACGAACAGAACTTGTATCATCAACAAATACCAGTTAAAAAATAAAAATGAATATAAAGAGAACAAAATGGGAAGATATTGCTTAGAAATGTAAACCCAAGAAGTGCCCTAAATTACAAAAAGAGAAATATAAGAGACTGAGGATAGAGGCCAGAGAGAATAGTTGGAACAGATGCAGGTAAAAATACAATAAGCAGACTGTATCATAAATATGACATACAATGAAATGCCCTGCTGTGAAAGTTTGGGGGCAAAGTCCTTCCCAGGAATCACCTATGGTTGGAGAATTACTCTCTAGGTAGGAATCTTTTGTTGTATGATATAGCAAGTGCACATGACTGAATGAAATATTGAGTGAGAGAAGCTCGAGCTCTCACCTGTCTCTTCATACAGGGTGCTATCTGATCAGTACGATGGGCACAGGTGCCAGCTGCCCACAGCAGGGTAACCACGAGGTACTGCAAACACTCACTTATAAACATAAAAAGAGAAAGAGAAATAAATAAGTAAAGGAAACAGTTCAAGAAAGGGGCTTCGTATTCAGAAGGCTGCCTCTGCGGTGATTGCCTATGGATGGAACAAAATTCAATTACTAATTAATGTATCCAGAAAAGAATAATAACATAATGACGTTGGACATCATCCATTTTGTGAAATTATAATTCTATCCATTATAAGCACCCTGAATTTAAGCGTTTTTCTCGAATGTTCCCGTTATCTGCGATTAAGTATTTCCCTGTCAATGCACTCCGTAAGTACAGAGCAAGAACAAAATACTTTTCCAGAAGTAGCACTGGACCATGTCTAGAGGAATGACTGAACATTGAGGGTGAGAAAGGAGGGAGAAATGTGTCGCATGTGTCACCAAAATCTTTGCATTTGCAGGTCAGAGAGTGCGTTTCTCCTCCTTTATCATCCCTTTCTTCTTTGAGTAGCTATTCTTATTAGAAAGATTCACTTATTTATCATTCCTTCATTTATTTATGTCCTTCCTTTCAACTATTTCATTGGTATATATTTTCATTACATGACATGGACATTCATTTTGGAGAACTGGTACATTGGGAACATAACCTGATCGGTTTTGATGTTCATTACTTCCCCATCTTACCCTGTCGGACCTACTGCTTTCTCATTTCCAAAGCATCAGCTTCCCTGTTTCCCGCCATCTCTTTTCTATTTGAAGTTTGGATTAATTCATGTTTTTGTTCCTCACATAAGAGAAACCGTATATTATTTAACATTCTTACTTGACTTATTTCCCTTAGCGTTATCATCTTGCGTTCCTTCCACTTTCCTGAAAATACCACGATTGGATTCTGATGGCTGAATGCTTTTCTAAGGCACTAGAATAGCAGTAGGCATCAGTCAAGGAATGAATGTTATCCTGGTGAAGTATGTGAAAAGTTGGTAGGCGTGAATGACTACTCGGGCAGCCTAAGAGTAGAAGAGGGTCAGAATCCCAGAGCTTGGGTGTGATACCCAGACAACCATAGCACACTAAGCCCTGTGGGCCAGTTGTTGTGTTTTATAAAACATTCAAAATCAAAGGGAAGAGTGGCGGTGACATTTGAATATTTTCACCATTCTAAGATAGTCTAGAGAAATGCATTATTCTATAAATAGCAGGAGACTTGTAGGGACATTACTTTTCCTGATTTTCATAATTTACAAAGGTAAGATATGACAAGGAGTAACATTACTTGCTTCTGATGAAACAGATGCCACACTGGCTCTGCTCTTCCGAGAGCAGTGCCCTCTGCACCGTTGGAGTCTGCATGGGGATAGATGCTGCACTTAACCTCTTCACTTTCATAGAGTGAGAACTGAACTACCCTTTCGCTGTTATCTGGCTTATAATAACAGCCAAAGTTCAATAGTGTTCTGTGGACACAGATATGGCTTGTAAAAAAGAATAGCGTATGATACAGCACATAAAAACAAAAAATGATACATAAAATACAAATATGACAGTGACATTATTGAGATCTTTGTCTACCCAACTTTTATACTAATGTTGAAGTATAAAAATCTATATTTTATGAACAAAACAAGGATTTTCTGATTGGCATCATTTTAAAATTACCACTTGGGTCTAGTAGATCAATAGACTGCATTTAATGTGTCGTGTTTTTTTGGTTGGTGTTGTTTTGTTTTGTTTTGTTTTTGTTTTTCTCCGGTACCAGGGACCGAACTCACGACCTTGCGCTTGCCAGACAGGCGCTTTGCCACTGAGCTAAATCCCCAGCCCCTAATGTGTCGTGTTTTTGTGAATTCCCTATCATGCCATCAAATTCATCAGCAAAGAACAGTTTAGTCACTGCAGTGGGGCAGCTCCAATAAGCACCACTAATAAACTCCACATTGCAAATGGTATAAAAAGCCATTTCCACCCTGGAAACTGCTATGTAATATATGTTTGACAGTGAGATTATTGGCTGTGTTAAAACATGCAATATGATTTAATCAATACAAATGTTTCTTATGCTATTCTGATAATGATTTGTAGTCTAAGATATTACCCTAGAGAAAACCATATATATATATATATATATATATAAATTTTTTGTTGTTTCAGAAATTAAAATTATGCCTGGAGTATTTGTTATTGCATGAAAGCTTGTCTACCTGTCCTTTGAACCCTAATATGACAATAAATACTTTCCAAGAGCTCAATAAAACACGTGTATTTTGCCTCAAGTACAGATCTTGTAGAAATACTCATCAATATGCATGTTACTTATAAACCACACATCAATACTTTTCATAAGGACATCAATAGATGTTTCAGGGAAAACATCTTACAATTCTCCTGTGGTTTGTTTGGGCACTGTGATAGAATGGGTAAAGTACTTCAAGGAGACAAGCTCTGGTAAATCTAAACTGTTTTCCTCCGCCACTTCATCTAGAGTGATTCTACTTGGTTCTGTTTAATGTATTTATAGTTGGATAATTTAAATAAATACTCTTATAGATATGTAAAAAGCAGCTGCAATCTATCCTCCTCTTTTCACGAAAAAAAAAAATCCATAGGCCAAACTAATACTTTTTCTCCAGAAACAACACAACTATCTCGGTGTGAAAACAGTGTACCCAAGATCAGTAATTATTCTTTTTTACATTCAACAAAATTGGTCACACAGCGCAGCTACACCAATTTTGAAAGAATTGTTACACCTCAGCTCTAGAGCGTCTGGAGGTAAACAACAGTAAAATAAAACCACTAGGTGTATCATGGGGTAATGAAATCTGTTGGGGTTTTGACTTGGAAATTGACACAACTATTCATTTATTATTATTATTAATTTCAGTGACTTTCATTTGTTAAAAATCTCTTGAGGCTGCAATACCAAAAGGTGAATTTGAAAGCTTAACATTCTGTATAGAAAAATTTTATTTTTAATATTTTGTGATGGTCAAAATAAATATTTTAAGGCAAAGTGCTGATTTTGTGAGAAAAAAGTCCTTATCCATGCCTTGGTATTGTAATTATTCTGGTTCCATACACAAAGATAAGATTAGGTCTTGATAAGGAGTGGAAGAAGGTCTGTTAATCTACTTTTAACAAAACCTGGCTGCATAGGTTGATGATTTGGACTAGATTATCACTATTTCAACTGACAATTACAAGATTATCTGCAATAGTCCATTCATATAAAGCTCCACATTTTCATTTCCTCTTAGAAATTCTCAACAACCTTTTTCTCTCTGGTTTACTTTTCTTTTTCTTCAGAGTGTCAATATCTTCTGCCTCCATAAGACAGGGTGATAGGCAGTTCTCTTTGATTTCACATCACATTTGCGTTACTAAGAAAACTATATGGCCTGAGCACACACTTAAGAAGTGGATATATTTTGTTAAATACATGACTAAGGAAAGGAAATAATAAGTTCATGAGTTAAACATAGTGAAAAGAAACACATATTTTATATGTATATATTTATATATGCACTATCTTCACTTTTAAGAGAAATTATGAATATTATTTAAAATAGTTTTCATTACAAAAATGAATCCAAATAAAATGCAAACTGAGAAAATCATATTCTATAGTTTCAGGACTCAGTATATTATACCTAAAGTTATAAACAAAATGTCTTTATTGTATTTTCAAACTATTTTTATTCTGAACAAATAGCTTTAATGCATTATAATTCTTAATTCAAAAATTAAGATTTTAATATCAATATAAACTACTTTGAAATTTTTATTAGGGACTTTAGAATATTTATCACCACTCAAATTTCATGATCTACTTGTGTCAAATCTATTCATTATTCCTAAAGTTAAACTTTAAGAAAAATTTCCAAAACTGTGTATTTGCCTAGTTATATGAACAATATGTACTATATGTACAAATACACAAATGTATATATTCTATGCATTCATAGATACTACAAAGTTTTAAAATTTCTGTCTGCATAAATTTTGTGAATGTGTCAACATAGACCTAAGCCTTAATTCAAGGATATGATGGTTGGAAACAGAAAATAAACGCATTTCCCAGCGGGCTCTCTCTGCTAATTTCTCAAGCTGTAGTCAATACTCTGTCTTCTGAACCCTTGCGCAGTATTTTTCCCCATATAAAAAACTGTAAGTATAGAGATGAAGACTTCTTTATGACATATTCTGAGCACATCCTCATGGGTCAATAATCACTGTTAAGGAATCTCTAAATAAAAGTTACAATTTCCCCAAACCGTTCTAACAGAACTTTTGGTTATAAAGTCAATACCCTCCTTCTGAATAAACTGGCCATTACACATAGGATGTGATTTTGTGGGGGAAATGATTATAATAGCACCCCCTGGTCTTTACTTCCAGCCAAGTCATTTTCTAACTTAAGTTTAATGAGATCCAATGAGATTTGTACACACTGGAACTTTTATAGCCATTAATTACAAAGTATACTTGAGGCTGTGGCCACTTAAGCCATCCCTTTGTATTTGTTCGATAAATTGCCCTTGGAAGTATTAAAGTTGAGATCTTAACTTTTCCTAACATATTAATACGTGCAAAAAGACCCTTACTGGAAAAATTGCTTCTTGCCAATATTTGATGGCAAGCAGTCCCCAGCCCTGGCCTATAGTCATGAAGCTAACTTCTGAGGAATGATCTCAATTATTGGATTCTTCAACTCAGCAGGCACAGATTTCAACTGGAGGGAAACATTCCATCTCTCACAGATGGCAAAGTTTCATCTTACATGCGGAAAGAGAGATCTCATCACTTCAGCTTCCTTACTTATAAAATAGACATTTTTATCATCCCCGGGCAGTGTTCATCCAGACACTCCTTAGAAGAAGGAAGAAAGAAAGCATCCTCTTGGGGATGTGCCAGACAGGTAGGAAGCAGTCCCCGGAGGGGATGTGTCTGTAAACAATGGAAAGAAATTCCTTCTGGAAGGAAAGTGCTCCTCAGTGGAGCCTGAACTACTGACATTATTCCACCTGCCAGGGAACCAATTTTGGCTTCACAAGGGCCAGTATTATATCTGCCTGGCTCTATTTTCTATGTGGATAACAATCTATATCCTGCCTGAACTTTCATTCTACCTTTCTGGGCATTCCAAGGATCACATCTGTATTTGCATTCACTCTGGAACACTATTGTCTTCCCACTAAGCCACGTAATATTCAGTACAAAATATCGAGCAGTCACTAGAACCTCCTTCTCACTCTGCTTTTTTATAGACAAGACATATAGTTGCCTACTACTTATTCATATCTGTCACGTTGTACTTATCACATAGATACTTATAATAAAATTCTGATTGGATATGTCACTTTCAAAATTCTTTGAAGTTCAATTTATTTTGTTATCAAAAATACTTTTCCTAAGCTTAATAATTAAAGCTAAATCCTAAAGCTCAAAAATTCAATTGTTCACAATCACCAATAATAAAAAATTTAACAGCAAATAGTCTAAATGTGTCACCGAATGTCTCATAACCTGTGCTTTAACCACACCTGAAAAACTCTTTGCTGAGAACTGTGTCTTTCCCCTCAAACCAAACCATAGTAAAGCCTGAAATGTTATTTTCCATAAAAATTATCAAAACTTTTACTGCCTTTATCATATTTCTTTCCCTTCTACCAAAAGGAGCAATGATTTCCTAAATATTCACTTCATAATGCTTCCCTTGATTTATTTTAACAGAATTTCTCCTTTGTTTCTTATAATTTAATAATTTGGATAAAATACTTACCCTACTACAGAGTAAGCTCCTGTAGAATATTCATTCCTTTTAAGTGTTTGCCCATGTTTTCTACTAAGATCATCTTAAACGTAACATTTCACAGGCAGTCAGTATATGTGTTTTAAAGAATATTTTCATGAAATGTTTAGGATACATTTTCTTCCCCACTTTCCATAGAGAACAGGCTGTAGTTTTCAACAGAACACACAAAATAAATGTAAATTTTAAAAATATTTCATACAGTATATCAACTTTTATAATGATACTTTACAGTTGGAGGGGCATATTTGTCTGCATTCCTTCACTGACTGAGTCTAGTACAATTCCTGTGTGAAGCTGCTGCTTCCGGCCTCAGTGGAGTGTTAAATAGTCAGCAGTATATAAACAAATTGCTGTCCTATTTATGATAATTCTACATGTAGGTGATGGCGTTAGTATCTATATACTAACTGAAGAAAAACATAAATTCAATATATTTATGTTTACCAGGTGATGATTACTGTTTCTTCCTTAGAAAAACCAGAACATTTGGTTCTGAGTCTGTGAAACACCCTTTAGTGTTCCCAAGACCTTGCCAAATCCAGGGAACACTGTAAGTGGACAAACACTGGAATATCCCTGTAAGCATCATCCGAGGGACACTAGAAATTCAGAAAACCAATGCTATCGGTAGAAACTGCCTTCCTGCCAGTGACAGTCAACTGACCGTGTCAGTCTGAGTAAGAAATGCCCAATTAAACTGGCTCAGCATGGTTCTGGGTGTGGCTCAAGGTATTTGCTGAAGACAGAAGCCCCATCCTGGGTGTGAGTGACAGCAACAGTACGCACACTGCCTGAACAGAATAAGAGGGAAAGAATAAGAGGGAAATGCTTCCGTTTGCTCAGAGGAGCTCCAGGCTTTCCCTGAACCTTGGACGTCATCTCCTGCCTTCCAGTGCAGACTCTATAGCCTCCAACACGGGCCCTTCAGCCTCCTGCTATGGACTTGCATAGGACACTGCCTTACAGTGAGCTCCAGCCCTTCGGCTGGATCCTTCATGTCTCCATGGATCCAGTATGCAGACAGAGGCTGTGCACACTTCCACACCTGACTGCGGGTGACCACTTAGGCCATCCTTGTAAATCCTTATAGATTTGCATACCTTGCACTGAATCTGTTTCTGTAGTGCGCACTGACTGATGCACTGCCTGTGGACTGACTCAGCTGTTCCTTGAGATGCTGGTCATAAGAGAGAACAAAGAAAGCTAATGATGTTGCTTGTTTGCGGTTGAATCTGTAAAAGCCCTTGTTGTCATTACCCTAATGATGGCTGTGGTTCTAAGTGGCTGCCAGTCTGCCGAACAAGGATGTTATTATGGCGCACACAGTCCGTATGGATTTGACCAAGTGGCACTGTTGGACTCATGCTTTATTCTAGACCCTCTCTCACTACAACTCACACTTAATTCTATCCCTTCCTATTACTGCCTTAACGAATCGTACCTGTCACGGGCCATCCCAGACATTTTTCAGTGGTCTCTTAGCAACCCACCTCATTGCCTCAGCACCCCTGATCTGTAGAGTAGACACTAGATGCTAACACTAAATAATAATTTCAGAGTGAATGCTTATGCACATCCTAAATTTTCCAAAACACAGGGCATCACCGTGTCCTAAATCTGAGTTTAATTTAAAAATATATAAACAAAACAGTCTTTACCCATGAAGGTGATGGCAAGCAACCCATAATTGCATTTTTAAATAGAAAATGATTACAGGAAAAATAATTGTGGGCTATACAACCATGGCCCTGGGATTTCAAATAGTGCTACTTTGGACACCCTTTCTGTCTTGGTTACTTCTTGCTTGTTGCTGAGACAAAATACCCGACACTCGAGGTTAAAGGAGAAAAGGTTTATTGAGGTTACAGTTTGTGGAGGTTTCAGTCCATAGTCAGCTGGCTCCAAGGCAGAGTGACATCACACAGTGGCAACAGCTCATGGTGCAGAAGACAGTAAAAGAAAGGAAGGCAAAGAAGGAGGTGTAAGAGAGCAAGCCTCTTCCCCTCCCTTATATTGCATGCAGGCTGCCTGTCCCAGGGTGGCTGTAGCACTCACACCCATAATCCCAGCACTGCACCATGAATCAATCACAAACTCTTCTAGAAACCCACCCCAAGACTGCATAAGAGTTTGGAAGGACATCCAAATAAAAACCATAACATTTTCCTTGTTTAACTTGCATATAAGGAGGTCTATGTGCACACACTATTTTGTGTATATCAAAATGAGTCAAATTATTTTGGAGAAAACGTGATATAGAGTAGTTGAATTTTGTGAAAGTTATATAAAAGAACTTGAAAGAGATCATGTGATACAAACAAACAATTTATCAAATTTGGAAACTTACACAAATGTGTGTATGTCCAACATAAAGCTACACTTAATATCTATGTGAAGTGACAAGGACAGTTAATGATGTCACCCTACTGGTGTGCATGTCTGAAATGGTGGCTGTTTCTCAAGGTTCCTTCTACTCAGAGTATGCGTGTAGCCTGTACTCAGTTCTAACCACTGCAGTTCTGTGAACAGTTATGCCTTTAGAAATAGCCTTTTGGGACAATAATGAAAAATACACAATCATCTCAGTATACTCAAAAAGCATTTGACAAAATTTAACATTTGTTCATGATAAAATCCCTAAAATACATAGCAATAGAAGGTTTTTATCCCAATTGGTTAAAAGCCATCTATATTAAACCAGTGGTCAAAAACATACTACTGGAGAGAAATTGAAAGCTATCCCTCTAAAATCAGGAACAAAATGGGATGTCTACCAGCACTGCTTCTGTTCAATATATTTTTTATTTTTTTTTTTGGTTTTTTTCCGGTACCGGGAACCGAACTCATGACCTTGCGCTTGCCAGGCAGGCACTTTTGCCGTTGAGCTAAATCCCCAGCCCTGTTCAATATATTTTTTAAAACACTATCTGAAGGAATTAGACATCAGAAAGAAATACAAAGAATACAAAGGATATGGATATGAAAGGAAGGTATTAAAACACCTTTATTTACAGATGACATGATCCTGTACACAAAGAAAACAAAAACCCCATGGAAAAACTCCTAGAATTAATAAGCACAATCAGTAGCTTATCAGGATACAAAGTCAACACATAACAATGAAAAGCATTTTTGAACACCATCAAGAGAGAAATTAAGGAAATACTTTTCACAATAGCTTCAGGAATAATGAAATACTTAGCAACTGACCTAACCAAAGAAGTGAAAGAACTTTACAATGAAAACAAAAAACGCTGAAAAAGAAGATTAAGAAGAATATCATAAAATGGAAAGATGTCTCCTGTTCCTGGAAAGTTAGACTCAATATTGTCAAAATGCCCATTTTTCCAAAACCATTACACAGATTTACCACAATTCTAATCAAAATACCAATAATGTTTCTCACAGAACAAGAGAAAGCAAATCCAAAATTCATATGGAACCAGAGGGAAGAGAATAGCAAAAAACAATTCTGGGAAACAAGGGCAAGACAGAGGATATTGTGAGCTGGTACATCAAGTTATACTACAAAATTACAGTGATAAAAACAGCATGGCATTGGGAAAAAAGGCATACAGATCAATGGAACATAGTAGAGGATGCAGAAACAAATATGAGCATACTCAGCCACATGATCTTTGACCAAAGGGCCAAATCCTTTTGCTGGAGGAAGCACAGCCTCTTAAACACATGGTTCTGGAAAAATTAGCTTTCAACATGCTAAGGATTGAACATATCCTTAGGAACATATCCTAAGGAGCCATATCCTTCACCGCACACTAAACTAAAATTAAAATGGGTTGAAGATCTGAACATTAGAAGAGAAACACTTAACTTGCTGGAAGACAATAGCAAAACAGTTGAAGACATAGATGTAGGGAAAGACTTCCCAAACAAAACACTGATTGCACAAAAAATAATACCAAGAATTAAAAAATGTGGTCATACTAAATTAAAAAGCTTCTTCACAGCAAAAGAAATCACCAACAGAGTAAAGTGAACTTACATAGTGAGAAATAAATTTCCTGCTACTCTTTAGACAAAGCACTAGTATCTAGAATATATAAAGAACTCAAAAGTATTAGGTTACCCAAATTTAAAGACCTCATCAGAAAATGGGTACCTGAAATGGATAGACACTTCTCAGATGAAGAAGTATAAATGACCAATAAATACATGAAAAAAAACATTTAAAATCACCAGCTATTCAAGAAATGCAAATTAGAACAACACTGAAATTCCTTCTCATTTCAGAAAGAATAGCTATCATTAAAAAAATGTTGATCAGTGTTCTGGTTGGCAAGGGGGACAATTTTTCATTGCTAATGTGAGTGTAAGCTGATACAACCACTATGGAAATCAGTATGAAGATTTCTCAAAAAGTTAAAATTGAAATTTCATTTGATCCAGTTATTCCACTTCTAGTATCTTCAAACAATAGTTAAAGATAGGGGCTGGGGATTTAGCTCAGCGGCAAAAGCGCCTGCCTGGCAAGCGCAAGGTCGTGAGTTCGGTTCCCGGTACCGGAGAAAAAACAAAAAAAAACAAAAAAAAAAAAGTTAAAGATATCACACCAAGTGATGCATGCATACCCATGTTTACAGCAGCACAATTCTTTAATATCTAAATCTTAAATCTATAGGCTGATGGCCTATATGTCCATCAGCAAATGAATGGATAAAGAAAACATGGTATTTATACACAATGGAGTACAACCTTCCCATAACAAAGAATAAACTTGAGTCGTTTGTACAAAAAAGGTTATACCTTGAAACCATAATATTTAGTGAAGTAATCAGACACAGAACATTAAATATTACGTTTCTCATATACAAAAAATTCAATATATATATAAGTGGCAAATGAAAGACAGATACTAAGAAAAAAAGAGATACAGAGAAAAATGTAACGCAATCCAGCATGGACAATGTGTACCTTCATTTATCGCAATTGTGTTATGTGTCTTTCATGTTTTTAATTATTATACTTGCTGTTAATCTGTATGTATGATAATTAACTTTATAAGAACTTATAAATTAAATGAATCTGATGCTGGCAAAATATAAAAAGGCATGTGGAGGATAAGGGGAAAAAGGGAATTGAGGTGTGCTGTGTACACGTACCAGCTCCCCATGATGAATTTAATCACATCGCCTAATCATTTTTGTGAAGAATCAGCTTATTTGCCTCATTGAATGGTTCATGGTCTCCTAAGGAGCAACCTCATTCAAGGTTACCCTGTAGCAGCGCTATGTCTGTGGTCACCATCTCCCAGAGAAGAAGCCTGTGAGTATAAACCTATGTTTTGTTGCAGCATTGTCTATGGCATATTTTTCATCTGTGCCTGATCTTGCTCAGCCCTAATTTTCCACTCAGGCTTTCCCACTGTCTATTCTCTGCCAGCCTCTAACACAGTACAACTGGTTCACCAGTCATTTATCATAAGTATTGATATGTTGAACAGTATCAGTATATCTTTTATGTCACAGATACATCCCCAAAGAAACCTTAATTCTCCACGCCTATCATTCATTTTAATGAGAGCTTATAGTTTTAGAATTTCATTAATCTTCAAAAAATATCCCCTAGGCATCACACAATACATGCTCAGTAGCAAATTCATCAATATAGCTTCATGAATTTATAATTTATGATAACTGTAATAGGAGATAGATGAATTTACACTTATACGTGTATATTTTATTGTTGAAATTAACTACCATATGTAATTATTTTAGGAGAAATACATATTTTAAAAGATGCTGAAATTAGAAAAGCATACACTGACAAATAGAACAGAAATAGATTATTTAGACACTAGAACAAATATTTCAAGAATGTTTTTGTAATATAATATGCCACAAAATATTTTAATTTTTTAAAAATTTCAGTAACTTTATTTTACAAATTCATTCTTATCACTTATTCTAAATTCATGATTTTTTATTCCTAAATAAATTATGGGAAAAACTTTAAATGGTTAGATAATACTCTGGTAATAGGACAAGTGATTAAAAATATAGCTGAAATTGGGGGAAATAGCATGAAAGAAAAACGTAGAATAATAAGAATTAAGAAGCAATCTTTTCAAAAGTTCAACTAATATTGAAAAAGCATCTTCCAAATGTCAGAGACTGGGATCACAAGACGAGAACATACGAACTGTCTTCTGAGGAATGAAAGACTGAAGTGCTATCAGCACTGAGTCTGAAATTCTTAGCCTGTCAGGTACTGAAGCAGATTAGGGTGCGGCAAAGCAGAAGACCTGTCAATCAGGGAGATTCAGAACACTTGCTGACCCGTCCTGCACCCGTGACCAATCAAAAAGTATTTCACTTCCACGGAGAAATCAAACAAGATTTTG